GCGGTTGCCTATATGTAAGACCGTAAGACTGGTTTTATTTCGGGTTCTTATTGTGCGTCTGAAGACGACTGCAGTATCTGAGAGATGTCACGCGCTATCAAAAGACGCGGGGCACCATCTAAAGATGATTAAATCTTCTTGGAGAACCCAATCATAGTGGAGACACCCGGTATCCTTAGATGGTAAACGCATCCTAGATGGCGTTTGGCATCTAGGATGCGCATGTCATCTGTAGATGGGGGGGTCGCCGCCCCTGACGGATTGCCTGATCGTGGATCGCGCGCATGCGTTCCTCTGTGTATATCCTTTGCGGCGCGGTGTATCTGTATGCTCTCTGTGGTGTTCATTTTTAGAGGAACACTGGCAAACCCCAGTACGACACAATGCGCGCGACCGTGCACGCACCACAGTCCACACCCGAGTCCCGACCGGCTTCTGTACTAACAACCGCGCCGTGCACGCCACTCGAGCTGCGTGCCGTCAGCGCGTGCGTCGGTGGCGTCGGGCCCACACCGCACACGCGCTGCGGAGCGAGGCTCTCGCCTCTCAAATGCCCTTGAGCGTGATGAACTCACCCGCCATGTATGCGCCGACCTTTGCGATCAGCACGCGCCCAAAGATGTACATGCCAGAGATGTCGCTGTCTGTCTTCCAGACCTGCAGCGTCTCGCCCTCCGGAGTGAGGACGAAGATGCGCTTGCCGGCCGCCTTCCTGTCCTCAGACCATGTCGCCTCGACCTCGCCCGAGGCCTCCTCCTCCTCCTCCTCTACCTCCTCCTCCTCCCCATCGCCGCGCTGCTCGCTCAGGTAGAGCCGGCTGCTGTGGTGCAGCAAGCGGCACGGCTCCCGCCAGTCGCCCTTGATCTCCCGCAAGTGCACGCCAGCGAGCGAGAAGACGCGGATGCTGCGGCCGCGCCTGTCTCCTGCGTAGAGCTCGTCGCCGATGAAGGCGAGCCCGTAGATCTCCTTGCTGAAGACGCCGAGGCCAAAGTGAAGGCGCCGCTCCAGCGTCATCGGGTCAAAGGCGACGATCGCCTCGGAGACTCCCTCCTGGTCGAGCTCATCGGGGTCATCATAAGTTGCCACAGCGTGCACCATCCCGTTTGGTCCAACGACCGAGTCGTAATATTCTTCGTAGTCGAGCTCTTCTTCCGTGTAGCGGGCAACCTCATCAAAGGAATCGGTGCTGTAGCTGATGATGCGCGCGCCGCTCATGCACGCAAAAAGGCGGTTCTCGGAGAAGCAGAAGGAGATGCAGGTTGGGCCCGACAAGATCTGCCGAACCTCTTGCAGCGACGGGTCCAGGACAAAGATGACAGCGTTGTTACCCCTCAGGGTGAACGCCATCATCTCGCCCGACGGATGCGCAGCCAGCCCTGAAACATGCTCCAGGTCAAAGCCCGGCGGCAGCGGCCCAAGCTCCGCCGGCCGGAGCCCACGCCGCTGCTCGTCCGTGTCGATCCAGCAGCGCAGCCAGGCCGAGCAGGCGGCGGCGGCGGCGCCGTCCTCGAGCTCGAGCGTCGCAAAGATGCGCGGAAGCAGGTCGGGAGAGAGAAGCACGTCCTCCACGGCCCACGGAGGGACGTGCTCGGAGAGGGCGGCGTTGGCGAGGCTGAGCGCATCGGCGCTCGCGTGGCACATGCGCGCGGTGAGCTCGACGAGGTCGTCGTGCTCTCTCGTTTCAGCGTGTGCGGAAGGGAATGCGAGCTCATCGCGCGTGTCTGCGCCCGTGCTGACGGCGCACACACGCGCGATGAGCTCGGCGAGATCGGCGAGCTCGTTGCGTGGCAGGGCGTGCATGCGCGCCGCGAGGGCGGATGCCGGCGCGGCCATGGAGAGGAAAAGAGCGCCACGGATGGAGCGCCGAGAGAGGCGAGAGAGGCCGCCGGCGACAACGCGTTGCGCGCGCGAAAAGCACCTTCGACCTTGCGTTTCTTTTCTTTATAGGCTCCTCCGACCCCCCGCTAAACGCGCGAGGCGGTGGCGGCGGTGGTGCGGGGGATTGACACAGCCTTGTTATTGAGAAGAAAATACGTCCTATGGCGCTGTGTGCTTGTCTGTGAGAGGTTGAGGTGCGAGCCCTGGAGGCCCTGGGAATGGGGGGAGACTACCCGCGGGCCTAGAAGGCCCGCGCGCAGGGGGGTGGAGCATTGAGACCGGTCATGAATGAGTGCGCGACACGCATGTTGCGAGCAGCGTTGTTGATGTTTTGCGCGTCGCCACAGACGGCGGCGCGCGAGAGCTGTTGCGAGTGGTGCTGGACAAAGCCCCGGGCGCTGCCGGAGGCTGTGCCGTAGTCGGTGCGGTCGACGGCGCTCGGGCTGCCGACCTCTTTGGCGAAGTTGAAGATGATTCTCTTGGTCGGCGGCGCGATGCCGCCCTGGCTTTCGACGAGACAAATTTTGACGATTCCGTTCTTGACATGGAGCGCGTCGTAGAGTACTGTCCCTTGTGCCCTTTGACCCAGCCTTTACCGGTCGCATGGACGAGCGGGCCCTGTGACTTGTGGCCGCGCTCTTTGCACCCAAGAACCTTGAGCAAGGTTTGGTCAAGGGTGTTGCCGAAACCAAACTTGTGGCCCAGTGACGCACAGCATCCGCCGTGTGCCGCCGAGCCCTGCCCAGCCTGCCTCGTCTTACTGAGGGCGCTAGGCACCTTGACTTCGTAGTGGACATCGCGCTGGGACTGCAGGTCCCCGCCGATCTCACACATGTCGGTGACGTGCCCCTCGTTGAGATGAAAAGTCGTCTGAGGGTTCGCCTTGTCACCGAGCACGAGCTTGCCGCAGGCTCGTGCACGGACCATGTTGGCCGCCGCATACATGGTGCCGTTGTGACGAATGTTGTGCTCGCACGGAATGTCCTTCGATCCGTTTGCAAGCTGGTCGCCCTTCCGCATACCGATGGTGACTGTCTCACCAGCCGCCTCCTTGGCGTCGTACACGTACTTGGCGCAGCGAAATGTAGTAGGCGTGGCGGCGCTGCAGCGCCGTGGCAAAAATCTCCGAGGTGATTTTGGAGGAGTGCCGGCCGTCGGGGCAGAGGTCGAGCCACGCTCCCGAGGCGAACTGAGAGACGGCGATGAAGCGTGCCGCCTCCCGATGTTTGACGCCGTCCGGGTCGTCCATCTCAGCATCCAGCCGCTCGCAGGCGGCGAGGCAGCGAAGCCACCGCTCGTGCGACGCAATCTGAGCGAGCGTGCCCTGTTTAGGGACTGGAGAAGTGCTCTGCTCAGAGTAGAGGTCGGAGACGAAAGTCGACATGCTTGGCACGGGCGCGGTAGACGCCCCAGAGCTTGATGCAGCGGTCGCGGATGGAGTTGTAGTGCTTGTTGAAGTAGACGAGCAGCGGCGGTTGCGCGAGGGGCGGTGCTTCGTCGCCGCCAGCGAGGGCGTGGCCCTGGTAGGCCGACGTAGTGATGGCCAGACGGCGAGGAAGGCGGCGACGAAGCACGCGTCGGCGACGTCGGCGTGCCCTCCGATGTTTGAGCCGCCTTTCGCCACCGAGAGCTGCACCTCCTCCCAGGCGCGGTCGAGCTCCTCTGTGGGCGTGCCGTTTGCCCTGGCGAGGATCTCGAAGGAGGTGCGCAGCCGCGGGAGCACCACCGTGTTGAGGACGGGCACGATGACGTCGGGCAGGTGAGTCCGCATCCAATAGTACGGGGTGCCGTTGCGCGAGCGCAGCAGCTTGTAGAAGAGCTGCGAGACGTCCGGGTCTTTGTCGGTGTCACGCAGTTGGTCGACCTCGTCGAGTACCTTGAACCTGCTGGCGAACGTCTTGCACAGCTGGTTCCGCTCGTACAGGCGACCCGCGTCGGTGTCGGGCGCGACAAAGGTGCCGACGACTTTGACACCTTGAATCTCGAGGATTGCAGCTGGGATGCCGTCGACGCCACCCGCCGGGCAGATGGCCTTGATCTTGGCGTCGTTCGACACGCAGCCGCAGTCCTCGAGTCGGTTGGTCTGCAGGCGCTCGAAGGCGTCTGCAGCTGTCTGCTCTGCTCCGCCGACATCGACGTGGCGTGGGTGGCGCAAGTACGTGTCGTCGGCTTGGCACAGGATCCCAGCCGCCCGAAACTGGCGTTGCGTGCGGCAGAGGGAGAGGTGGTACGGGAGGCAGCAGCCGTTGGTGGCGAGGACGCAGCCCTGCTGCCCGCCCTGAGCCGAGCGGATGACCTTTCGCATGACGGTCGCAAAAGAGTCGCCATCGACGATGTCACGCTCGTCGTCCTCGCCATCCCACGCACGGCTGGAAGAGCTCCTCGCTACGCAGCGCCTTGGAGTGATCTCACTGGTCGGCGGTCAGTACGACCGATCAGGTTAGAGGTTTCTCATGATTGGAGGGTCTATCTGTATGTACTCCTCGAGATCTCTCCAAATCTGCCCTCTGATTAACCTAGCTTAATCGGGAAGTTGGTGCTAGTAGAGACTAGTAGAGCCGGAGCCCCGTTTCCGCACTGCGGCGAGGCGAAGAAAGTTTTGCCATATTAACGCTCTCTGACACACATTTTTGCACAAATCGACACCTCAAATAAGACTCTGAGCCCTGGTGTCGAGGTGTCGAGGCCCGGTGTCGAGGGTGTCGAGCTGCTGTCGAGGGATAGAGGATTAGAGGTGTCGAGGCCTGTCGAGGCCTGTCGAGGCCTGTCGAGGCCTGTCGAGGCCTGTCGAGGCCTGTCGAGGCTGAAACCATGCTTGACCGTGTCGAGGGGTGTCGAGGGGTGTCGAGGGGTGTCGAGGGTGTCGAGGGTGTCGAGGGTGTCGAGCGGGTGTCGAGTGTTGTCACGCCAGCGCGGGCGAGCGCCGCCAGCGCACGGGCGCGCCGCGGCGTGTGGACGCGTCCCGCCCAGGTGCCGAGCAAGCTCGCACCTCGGGCGCTACGCGCGCGTGCCGGGGCTACCGACTTTTCCAGCCACCCGACATCGGCGTTCAAGGGGTGCTGCGCTGCTGCTGTATTTAGTATTTAGCTTTAGATGGAATTTACCACCCAATTCAAGCTGCAATCCCAAGCAACCCGACTCGACGAGGACGCATCGTAAGGCCGCAACCCGCCACGGTACGGGATCCTCACCCTCTCTCTCCGACACCCTGTTCCAAGGGACTTGAGCGGCGGGCGCGGCCGATAACGCCTCTCTAGACCACAATTCGGGGGGCGCTGCATACGCGAGGCCTCGAGATTGGCAGCGTGAGCTCAGCCGGCGATGTGCGATTGGAGCACTTGGAGCACTTGGAGCATGATTCAATTATTTTATTTAGGGCCTCCCATGCAGACTGAAATCTTCCATCTTCTTGTGGGCTTCTCCGCGGCCGTCCGTCCGGCGTTGCTGCGCCCTCCCGTCCGCGCGCCCGGCCGCGCCGCCGCACCGATGGCGCAGCTCCTCTTCGGTGACGAGGCGGCGGCGCAGCCCGGGATCGGCGAGCCAAAGCCGCCGCCCTTTGACTTTGCGCCCGCTTCGTCGCGGCCGGACGAGGTGGTGCACGGAGCGGCCGCCGCGCCGTCGGCGGCGGAACTGGGCGACTGGCTGGCGCACATGCAGGGCGCAGGCATCCGGCGCGCGGTCGCCTTCCTCTCGGCCGATGAGGCCGCCGCCCGATCGCCTGACGGCACCGCCGGGGGCTACGCCGCCGCGCTGAGCGCGGCGGGCGTGGGCTCGCCGCTGGTGCTGGATGCGGCGTCTCCCGCCGCCGCCGCCGCACTCACCGACGCATGCACTGCGGCGAGGTCTGCGCGCGAGAAGCTGGTCGTACACTGCGCCGACGGACGCTCCTCGACCAACCTGGCGCTGGCCACCTGGCTGCTCCGCGACTACATCGGCAGCGAGAACGTGGCCGAGGCGTGCGACCTGCTCAGCGCGAGCCGCCGCAAGACCAAGGTGGAGCGGCGCCTCGACCCGGCGGCGCTCGCCGCCTTTGTCGGCGTCGAGTATGTGCCTCCAAAGGAGGACGGCGGCCTGGCGACGGGGGCGATCCAGGAGCTCGCGCCCGACGGAGCGCCGCCGGAGGAGCCGAGCAGCGGCGAGGGCGGCGGCGGCCCCACCCGACTCTCGTCCGGCCTCTACATCGGTTAGTAGAGAGGCTCTCTTCCGCGGCCTCGCTCATGTGCACATGATTAGAAATGATAGATGTGGTGTGATGTCTTGTGAACACAGAACACGCGCCCTGTTTTCGTTACTTGCGGTCCAGACCGGGTGGCGGGCCCGCCCTAGACTGGCCGCTCCATGCACGGGGCGCTGTCGGCTGAGCTCCCAGCACTCTCACAACCCACATGGACATATGGACATGGGCCACGGCTCCCTTCCGTCCTCGTGCCTCGAGGCACCGACTCATGCTCTATGGCTACAGCACGCTTGTCCTCGCTATCAGCAGCAGGAGCAGAACGGCACAACTCCTCAGCCCTCTTCCGCCTTGGCCCTCCTTCGCCGAGCAGCGTCGCGGCAGGCCTCATCGCGTGCCTTGCGCCCCTGCCGCTGGATCGCCTCGCGCTCTGCCGCAGCAGTTCTATTCAGGCGGTGGGAATCCTTCCGCAGAGCCTCCTCTTTGCGACGCTCACGTGCCGCTGACTGCTCCTTCGCCTCTGCAGTCCTCTCCTTGCGCGTTTGCGCCCACTGCTGCTTCTGCGCGGCGTACGCGGTGTCCGAGTTGTTTGGAGGAGGCGCGAGCTTCAGGTTGCCGCCCTTGCCCATTGCCGGGCAGCGTGGAGCCTCGAACAACAGCAGTCGCAGATGGGCGCGGACTTTCTTTCTCGTACGCAAGAAATGAGCGAGCACTTCGACGCGGCGGCTTATCAGCTGATGCCTGAGTCGAGGGTGCTAGTAGGTAGTAGCAAGTAGGTTGGCCTCACGCCTAGATAGGGCCGGCGGGTGGTGCTGCTGAGCTGCTGCTACTCGAGCTGCTCCAGGGCCTCCAGCTGCGCGTGTGGTGTGTGGAGGGGGATGGTCGAATTTTGGCAATTCTGCTTGCCTTATAAGACCGTAGTTATAAGCGTGCGCCTAGTGTCCCTACGCGCGTGTCGCGTGTGCCGTGTCCCGACACCACCGAGCACCGACATGCCGCGACGGCAAAAATAATGGCTCATGCCCGAACCGCTCTCGCGTGCAGCTCGATATCCTCCGCGTAGCGCGTTCGGATGAGTCGTCGGTTCCGCGCGTTGAGCTGCTCTGCCGTGAGGCGGCATCGCGAACCGACATTCCGAGTGTGCGGGAGGGGGCGCGAGGTGCGGAGTAGCCGCGGCACCGCCTCTGCGAGCGCTTCGAAGGGCAGCACGTGGTCGCAGAGCACGGCGGCGTTGACCTCGTCGTGTATGAACCAGCGAGGTTGCTGCACTTGGAGCACTTGGAGGGAGTGCAGTCATTAACCGCACATCCAGGGCCGGGGAGCTAAGAAGCGCAGCGGAGCTCTTCTTTTTTTTGAGTGAGATGTCCTGTCTCTTGTCTTCTTTGTTTTGTCCCTTTGGTTCAGGTGTATTGTTGGCAAGTCAGGACACAGACTGCGAGAACCGCGGCATTTTTTCGACCCTTTCGCGAAGCTTCCATCGACCGCTGCACGCCCGCAGATGTCCTCGCTGCTGCTCGCAAGCAGCGCGCTGCTGGCGTCGTCGGCCGCACTGGTCGTACCCGCCGCTGCGCCCGCGATTCACCACAGCAGCGCCCTGCTTTCAAAACACACGGCCCGGTCTTCCGGCGCGTTTGCTCCAGTCATGCGTCTCAAGGACGGCAAGGACGCTGGGGAGGGAGAGGGCGGCGGAGTCACGATGCAGAAGATCAAGGACGCAGGTTCGCCTCCTGCTCAACCGAACCAACCCAGTCCACTCTCGCCACCCACTCACCCAATCCACTCGCCACGCACTCAGCCGAACCAATCCGCCCCACCCGCTCGCAAAGAGTGGGGGGCAGTGTTGCTCGCGCCCGAAGTTGCCCCACCGCCTCGCGAACAATAGAGAATAGCGCACGAATGGTGCTGCTGCGCCCGCTCGGGCAGTCGGCCGGAGTGAGGAAAGAGCCGCCGCGCCTATGCAGGTGTGGCGGGCATCATCTCGTACGTGTTCTGGGAGTGGGCGTTCTGGGGCGTGTCGGTGCCGGTCTGCGTGCTGGGCTACCGCGAGGTGACGGGCCACTGGCCGGATCTTACCAACTCGGAGGACCAGGTGTGCCGCGCTCGCCCTCACTTTTGCTGCCCCGAGCCGCAGACTCACTTACTGGCGCCGGTGTTTTCGCCCCAGGCAAAGCTCGGCGCCGAGGCCTTTGCGTTTGTCAACGTCGCTCGCTTCGCGATCCCACTGCGCATCGGCCTCGCCCTCGGCACCACGCCGTGGGTGCAGGCGAACATCGTCGACAAGTTTCAAAAGGAGGACGAGTAGGGGGCGGCATACGGACGCTGGGACGATTGGCATGTGGAGTACACTCGAGGCCGCGGGCGGGGGGCGTCGCACCGCGCGCCTGTGCGCGCGAGCAATATTGTACGGGGGAGTTGGTTGGTTGTGCCTGATGTCGCCGCGGTGGCTAGTGCGGCGACGCGGGCGTGAGATACTCTCATCTTCGATTGTGATCTCGGCGAGCTCGGCGGGGGAGGCCGGGCGAAGGGCGCTTCAGCGCTCCACGACGCTTGACAGGAAAAACGGCAGACGCGCGGAGTTCAGTCTCAGAGGCCCGGTCGGCGTCCGCGGGCCGTAGGGGCGCTCGAGGGGAGGCGGAAGCGCGCGCGCGGCGCGGCGGCGCGGCGCGCCCCAGCGGGGGCGGGCGCGGGAGGGGGCTCGAGGGAGGGGGACGCTCTCTCTAGTATACGGCACTAACTAACAACGAGAGCCATCAGACACGGTGTCACATCGCGAGGCTAGCTCCTGCGGCCGACCTCTTGGGACTAACTGCACAGCAAACGCGGCGCCCAACCACAATGCACAAAACGCACCGCAGTGCACCGACACGTGCGATCATCTAAAGCGCATCGGCCTGGTCCGGGGCGGGCTCTGCCTGATGCGCCGATCTAGTCGATCACTGCCGCCATGACGGAGTCGTTGGAGCGGCGCTCCTCGCGCACGCCCTTCTTGCCCGGCCACGATGCAGTCGAGGACACGACCTGGCGGGAGGGTGAGACCCGAGCTGCGCCCAGCCGCTCGCTTGCGCTCTGCCGCCCGCGCTCTTGGTCGAGCTCGTTGGTGCCATCCTCGTCAAATATCGTCGTGACAAAGGCCTCCTCGCCCGAATTGTTGGAGCAGAGCATGACAGGCGTCAAGCATGCCCGCTTATGCTGCGGCGGCAGGAGCGCGAACTTATAGGTTGCCGACCCTTCTTCTGCGAGGCCCCACAGGGTGAAGTCCGTGGAGCCCGACATGTCGGGACGACACCTAGAGGTCCAGGCCTTGAGGTCAATGATTGGAAGCCACAGAGAGCGCTTCGTCGTTTTAGAATTTTACAAGTAGGGGGAGGGCGCCCAGGGCTTCGAGGTTTTTCAGCTGTTTATCGTGCGCTGCTCACTCACTATACACTGAGTGGAGAGAGAGTACACCACACACACAAACACTACTCCCCAACACGCGGCTAGCCAGGCCTGCCTGCTACACGATGGCGACGTTCTTTGGCCTGTCCGAGGGTTTCCTCTCGCACCCTACCTGGTTTCCTTTCCGTGTTTCCTGCTCGTTTCCCTACAACACCCTCTAGTTTCCTCGGGAAACCCCGGGGAAACTCCGTGGAATTCGTCATTTTGGGGGGGCTCTGAGCCGTGTCTGAGGCTGTTTTGGGGCCAAAATCGGCAAAATACCGGGTATTTTGCGGGTATACCTGGAAAACCCCGGTATACCTGGAAAATACCTGGGTATCGTGCCGATTTCCTCAATTTTGCCCCAGATTTTGCCCCAGACCAGCTCTCAGACTCAGGGAAACTCGCGAAGAGAGAAGAGAGAAGAAGAAAAAAAAACTCGCGAGTTTCCCGAGGGAAACTCGAGAGAAACAGAATGGAGCACCAAACACCCTCTGGTTTCCCTGGAAACTTCCGGAAACGCAAAGTGCTGGGGACCCTCTGGTTTCCCTCTGGGTTGCCGGAAACCCTCGGACAGGCCAAGACGTTCTCTCTCAGGGTTCTGTCTGCGTGCTATTGCTGCCTCCCGCTTGGAGTCGGCAGTAAAGCAAGTGGGTGGAAGCGGGGGCGACAGGGACGGCGGCGGCGGCATCAGGATCGGCGATGCCGAGGTGTGTGCCCATGTTTGTACGTGGGGGGCGTTGCACGCCGCGGATCAGGCCGGGCGGTGGGGAGGAATCGGAAGGCGACGGCGGCGGCAGGGACAGGGGCAGTGGCGGTGCCCAGGGATGGTGGCGACCGCCGCGAGCGGGATGCAGCCGGCGAGGCGAGGTGGCAGGTGGGCGCGACCGTTGCGCGCTGTTCACAGCCTTGTTATTGAGAAGAAAAATAGTTAGAGGCTGCGCAGGCCGTCCCGTTTGCTGTTTGAAACGCCTGTTGCGCTGGCCGCTGCGCGCGCGCGCTGGCCGCTGCCGGGGCTCTGTCTCACTCTCACGTGCCGCAATATGTGTCACACACGGCGGC